TCCAAATTTATTTGCGTGTTTGGATGGGAATCATGAGATATTTTGAATGGTGAAAAGCATCAAATTGCCAAGGAATCTTTTTTTCGTATATTTGTTCTTCAGATGATTTTGGTTTTTGGATAAGAACGGATATTATTTCTTTCTGATTTCAAAGTCAAAATATCACCATTTCAAAAACAAATCTATGCAAAAATTATTTCTTCAAAGTATACTATGGTGAAAAGCTTTCCAAAGCTACTAATGGTTTTTACTTTTATTTTTTAAAATAAAATGTTTTGGGTGCTCTTAGTTTAGTGTTAAATCTACCCACAGTATCTAAAACATACTTAATTAGTAAAGAAAACTGAATTGTACTTAACTACAGCTTTAAACACATGCCAAGTACCAACCTATCAACCATTTCCTTGGTCTTTCACATTTTGTTAACCCACACCAGAATTTACACCTCAATACAGTAGATGTTTTTCTTTTTTTGTTTGAACAAAGTAGATGTTTTTTTTAAAATTTATTTTGGAAAAAAATATTAAAATTTTAAACATAATAACAAAAAAGTAGGACTGGATAACTTTTTTTAATCTGTAGTAGATTAAAAATAGTAAAAAAAAAAAAAATTTTGGGCCGTGGAAATCGGTAGCGTTATGGATAAGGACACTTTAAGGATGAGTCACCGTTTCCTTTCTTTATAAATAAATCCCGCTTCTCTCTTTATCCAATTCATTAAATCCTAAATCCATTATTGAACCCCAAAAAAAAAAAAAAAAAAAAAAACTCTCCTTTATTTCACTTTCTATTACAAAATCATAATCTTCTCTGAGTTTTCTCTTTGATTCCATTTTGTGAACCACCGGAGATAAAAATGACAATTGCTTTAACGATCGGAGGAAACGGGTTCTCGGGTCTACCCGGATCGTCGTTTTCATCATCATCTTCATCGTTTCGATTAAAAAACAGCAGAAGAAAGAACACGAAGATGCTCAACAGATCAAAAGTCGTTTGTTCTTCTTCATCTTCTGTAATGGATCCGTATAAAACCCTTAAGATCCGACCCGATTCGTCTGAATACGAGGTCAAGAAAGCTTTCAGACAACTCGCTAAAAAGGTTTGACCTTTTTCCTTAAGCTCCATCATTTTAGATCTGATGAACCTTGTTTTCAAAACTGAGTTTCGTTTTTGGGTATCTGGGTTTCTGATCGATTTTGTTTTTGATTGTTGCAGTATCATCCTGATGTTTGTAGAGGAAGCAATTGTGGGGTTCAGTTTCAGACAATTAACGAAGCTTACGATGTAAGCAACTATTCTTTTTTTGGTTAACTTAAAACAGATTTATATTCGCTTCTTTGGTAATGAAAAATTGATCTCTTCTTTTTTTTTCTTTCTTTCTTTTTTGAAGATTGTGTTGAAGCAAATAAAGAATCAGATGGAAGGGACGGAGGAATTTGAGCCGTTCGATGTATACGATGAGGGATTGAACGGAATGAATGATCCAGATTGCGACACGTGGGAAGAATGGATGGGATGGGAGGGAGCAGGGACCCGTGATTACTCGTCTCATGTTAATCCTTACGCTTGAAAACGAATGATTTCACTAATTAATTTCGAAATCATCCGAAATGTGTTATGTATATAAATAACAATCAGAGAGAGACTGAAAGCACAACAATGTAAATAGGTGAAAAATTGTCTCATTTAATGATTTCTTAAATGTGAATAAAGTAGTTTCTCCTCTTCGTGTAAATCTCAAACATTCAGAATTTAAAGCGTTTTTTAGCTTTCCTGAATTTGCAAGTAATCTTTAAGATTATGAGAAGGTTAATTTTGACTTCTTCAAACCGACAAGGGTCAAGTTCCACGTTTGCTTTTAGATGTAGACAAAAAGTCACCAAATTCTCATTCTTTGTAACGGTTTCTTTATATTTTTATAATGAAAATCTAAACATATCAAAATACTTCAAAAACACTTTCCTTCTATCAAAACAGACAATTGCAGAATCTAATCCATGGAGAATGCTCCGCTGCAGTACCTGAAGAAGATGGCAACATCATTTCGTTTTTTTTTTTTTTTTGTTTGGAAACTCAAATTCATGGATTATGACTTTAGTATTAGGAACTAAAGAGTTTTACCTGTTGCTGAATCTTTGGACAGAGTCTGTAGCATCAAGAAGAGTTTCACTTGCTTTCTCTAAAGCCATGTAAAGCTCTTTACCTCTGTTTAGACGCGCAATGACCCACGTGTTGTTCTTCGCTCGAATGCATGTTTCCATGTCTTTCTCTTGCTTCGAGCGGCTCTTTTCTGTATCCACTTCTTCCCTTAGCTTGTTTAGTGCAAGCAAAGACTCCTACGAAATCAGAGACAATTTTGTAAATTTGATACACTCTTGGTTATGCTACTCACAGAGGTCGCAGTATATGAATATGATTGGTGGGAGTTCTCTCACCTTTGCTAGAGTTGCTACCTTTCCTGCCGGAGAAGCTCTGGAAACTTCCATGTCATTATCAACTAGTAAGTAACGGTAACCGCTTACATGGTAAGCGTTCTCACCACCCCACCCTTTCGATAGCTTCTCTTCGACTTTCAAGATTTTTGCCGATGCCTACAAAATAGCATAGAGATGATAAGGGATGGAAAAAGATTTTACAATGAAGCAAGAGAGGTTTACAGAGGTGAGCTAACGTTTTCAATAACTTGCTGCTTCACGAATGAGATGTCTAGCTCTCCATTAACAATTGCAGCGGTAGGCACGAGAAGAACCAAGGTCAGACTTTTGTATTGATATGTCAAAAAGTAAAATCTTTCCTGTGTCTTCTGTATCAAAATTGTCGGTGTGGCATCTATACCCCAAATATCAGTTACAAGAAACCCGTCTTTCCCTTTCGACCACTTATCTTGCTGCAAGGGTCTAATAACACGACCTGTGCTACTACCATTTCCTGAAGGCAATGTACCACCTGAACCAAGAGGGAGCACTGAGGTAGATCTAGAAGATATTTGAGGTGTCACGGATCCCTTGCGTAGATATGACCAGGAACTTGTGCCAGAGGATAGTGCGTTTGTGGTCAATCTCATGACAGAAAATGCAAACAAGTCGACGGTATCATCCTGTCAAAAGAGAGATAGAGAGAGATGATATGGTCTACACTTTTAGTATTAGTGGAAAATATAGATTACACAGACCACAACAATTTAAGAATCTTAACGACTCAACAATCTTGGCTAAAATGAATATTGTGAGTGGGGGATTTGAAAACATACAGGTGAGAGAGTTGTTGACACCAGTAGATCATGAAATAGAATCACAGAGTGGCATCGAACGGTCCCAGCACATGAATCTAGCACTCCGACAAGAGACTGTACATCTAAATAAATAGTAGTCAAAATAGTGAACTATTGTTGTATTGCGAAACAGATCTTCTGACGGAGAAACAAACCTGAACTTCAAGTGCTGCATCTCTTGCTAAAGTTAGCATCTGAACTGTTCCACGCTCTGTCAAAGTTTCACGGAAGGAAGGTAACTGATGTTTCTTACAAACAAAAAGATCTGCGCCAAAATAGAAAACCTTTTGATAAGTGCTATTACACAGGGAGTTTATGGGCTAGACTTGGTGGATATTGCTTACCATTTAAATAGTCTGTGATGAATGGATACAAGTGCGATCTTATAAGTCCTCCAGTTGGTTCTTTCTCAAGCAATGCCCTAATTGACCCTTGAAACATAACAAAGAGAGAGTGTACTTCCTTAAGAACTCTCCGCAATGCATCAATCCTCCATACAGCTTCAATCTCCTTATTTTTCTCTACAACCTACCAAAGTCTAAATCAAATTTTTGTTCTCTTTATGCATATGAATAAAGTACGAATTAAGTGCTAAAACAAGTGAAAGAGTTGATAATGCTGTACCATGACCATCCAGATATCGGGCTCGGCCTCATAGAAAACATGGGAATGTCTCTCTGCTTCAATTACCTCACAAGCTGCCTCCGGGGAGAAAAGTCTGCATTTATATTCCATAAACCACATCTCAGAAACAACCAAAAATACAGGCAAAATTCATGTGAACATGAGACAACACCAATCAATCCATGAGCTTGAACATCTCTGTAAAGAAGGAAAATCTCTAGTAGCTAACCTGGTGAACGTGATAAGCCCTTCGCTGAGCCCGATAACGGATAGCTGAGTCGAGAAGGTAAGATCAGGAGGATAGAAGAACAAGATCTTGTCGAGTTCTTGTCCTTCGTGTTGGCCTCTTCTTAAGTCAAACACGCAAAGACGAAGGCTTTCACTACCAGAGCTCATGGACGCCATTCCCATAGCTTCTAAGAGCTCATCAACCACCCCTAAAGCACAAAAAAATGTGTATCGGAAATTAGGCAATAAAACTAACTCTGTATCTGAAATTCATAACTTTCAGGCACATCATCACCGTCGAACCCTAAAATTTACGGTTTTGGGGGTTCAGATCATTGCAAAGTGATCACTTTCGTCCAGAAAAATGCGTAATCCATATAAATTGATTACCTTTGAGGATGAACCCTAAGAACAAAGTCCAAGGAGTGATCGGCCTTCAATTAGTTCAACAACGAGAATCGCAAAGTTGATTTCGATGATTGTGGACTCAGATCTACCAATCAAAACTCGAACCGATCAAGAAAAATTTAGCAGCGGGTAGGTGGTGAGAGGAAACGGGTCGATAAAGTTACCGGGTTAGGATCTAAAATGGAGTCGGGTCGTAGAGGATCTTCAGATTCTCATCGGCTTACGTCATCCATTGTCTTTTCCAATGATTCTCTTATTTTCTAATCGCACGTTGTTGTCACCTACGTACACTCGAATAATTTGATTTTGTCTCCTCAATCTATCTATGAATAATAATTCCTAAACCGGTTATAGTAACATTTTGACATATCATTCTCTTATTTAATCGTCACGCTTGGATCAAATAATTGGATTATTAGTACGATACTAACTACTAATTGAATTAATGCATTGAAACTTAATTAAATAAATACCTAGAGAACGAAGTTGTGTTAAACCGATAAGTTAGAGCCTAAACCAATATAAATTAGTTAAGAATCGGTTTGCATTTCGGTTTGAAACCTCTCTTCTACATGATTTTTTTCCCGTCCACAAAAAAAAGTTAAAACTTTTGCTTCTTCTTCGCATTCACTCAAACAAAGTAGAAGACGGAATCCAGCCCAGTCACTTCCGCAATCCCCCTTTCGTTAGGGTTCGGAGATTGTTTATTGGAGGTGTTTGTTGATTTTTTTTTTCTTCTGTACAATTTCCGACCTTTTTGGTATATTTTTCTCTGTTTTATTGTTTTGGGACGATCCATCTGATTTTGTGGCATTTAGACCGAGGAAACACTCAATCATATATTCTGATCTTTGCCTTGTCATGTATGCTTTTCTTTTTCCTCTGAAATTTTTTATTTTGTGCGAAAAAGCTTCCATCTTTGATCAGTTTGTGAGGCTTCTTCTTCGTTTTCTGATTACAGCTGAGTAGGATGTATTTATTAAATTTCCATTTCCATTCTTGACTTTTTATCAGATAGACCTTGAAGAGATTCTTATTATATTTCATCCTTGTACTTACTTGGTTTTGTAGTATCTGGAGATTGCCAACAATGTCTGAACTCAAAGAGCGTTTGCTTCCTCCAAGACCTGCGTCAGCTATAAACCTTAGAGGGGATGCAGGTTCTCGTCCTTCTCCATCAGGGAGACAACCACTCCTTGGAGTTGATGTTTTGGGTCTCAAGAAGCGTGGACAAGGGCTTAAGTCTTGGATTCGTGTTGATACTTTTGCCAATTCTCAGGTCATTGAGGTTGATAAGTTCACTATGATGCGCAGATGTGATTTACCAGCACGTGATTTAAGGCTGCTTGATCCTTTGTTTGTGTATCCGTCAACCATTCTTGGCAGAGAGAAGGCTATTGTTGTTAACTTAGAGCAGATCCGTTGTATTATTACTGCGGATGAGGTTTTGCTCTTGAATTCCCTTGACAACTATGTGCTTCGCTATGTTGTTGAGCTGCAGCAGAGACTAAAGGCAAGTTCTGTTACTGAGGTTTGGAATCAGGACACACTCGAATTGAGCAGGAGGAGGAGTAGAAGTTTAGACAATGTGTTTCAGAACTCATCCCCTGATTATTTACCTTTCGAGTTCAGGGCTCTTGAAGTTGCCCTTGAAGCTGCTTGTACCTTCCTTGATTCCCAGGTCAGTGATCGATCGATTCAGAACTTCTTGAATTTAGTATGCTCAGCATTAATATTAGATTTCCCTTTGTAGGCTTCAGAGTTAGAGATTGAGGCATACCCATTATTGGATGAGCTTACCTCAAAGATCAGTACTTTAAACTTGGAGCGTGCACGTAGACTAAAGAGCAGACTTGTAGCATTGACGAGAAGAGTTCAGAAGGTTCGGGATGAGATTGAACAGCTAATGGACGATGATGGGGATATGGCAGAAATGTATCTAACAGAGAAGAAGAAGAGAATGGAAGGATCTTTATATGGTGATCAATCTTTACCTGTTTACCGATCAAATGATTGTTTTTCTCTGTCTGCACCAGTGTCTCCTGTTTCTTCTCCTCCTGGGTCCCGTAGACTTGAGAAAAGCTTGAGCATTGTAAGGAGCCGGCATGACAGCGCTAAGAGCTCAGAAGGCGCAACCGAGAATATAGAGGAGCTAGAGATGTTGCTGGAAGCATACTTTGTTGTCATCGATAGCACTCTCAACAAGCTTACCTCGGTAACATAACATAAAACCTGCTCATTTGTGTTCATTCATCATCTTGTTTTAACAGCAATTAAAAGCAACTCTCTTTACTCTTCAGTTAAAGGAATACATCGATGATACCGAAGATTTCATCAACATTCAATTGGTATACCTTGAAATCTTGATCTTTTTTTAGACAAGTTATTTGCTTAGGAAACCGTAAGAGTCTGCTGAAAATTTCTGGAATTTGCAGGATAACGTACGGAATCAGCTGATCCAGTTCGAGCTGCTGCTAACTACTGCGACATTCGTTGTAGCCATATTCGGGGTTGTAGCCGGGATCTTTGGGATGAATTTTGAAATAGACTTCTTTGAACAGCCTGGTGCTTTCAAATGGGTTTTGACCATTACTGGAGTGTGTGGCCTTGTTGTATTTTTGGCATTCGTTTGGTTCTACAAACGTAGAAGACTCATGCCTCTGTGAAGACATAACTGCCCTGACACGTAGACGATTGTTTTACTTTTTGCTTAAATTTATATATTAATCGTCTGTGACCTTTACTTTACAAGATGAAACAGTATTTTTTTTTTTTTTTTTTTTTTTGGAAATAAAGGGCAATCCCATTATTTAAAGATTTCCTAAAACATGAAGAGACTCTAAAGTACATTATAGAATATATACAATAAGGGAGACAAATCCCAATTGGACTAGGAAACCCTAAAGCCCAAAGCCCACTAAGACTAACATAAACCGTCATTGGGCGAATCTTCTAGAAGATAGACATGGGCCTTCTAGAACATGGACATGGACCTTCTAGAACATGGATATGGGCCACGGTTATGGAGTCCATCCGTAATGTGGTTTACAACACAATCCCATTATTTAAAGATTTCCTAAAACATGAAGAGACTCTAAAGTACATTATAGAATACACATTATAAGTTTCAGAAGGTGTATTCAAAACTTAAAAGGTTTTCTAGATTCAACATGTTTACACGAAATAACTAAGTGTGACAAGTAGAAGATTCTATTAGTGTTTATGTTCCTTAAATTAATATGTTAACCACATGTGACCTTTACAAGAAGAAACAGCATTTAACGTATCGCAAATTTACAACCATCTCATTATCTTCGATATAGAAACCTCAGAGTAGAGTGTAAAAATACATATCTGAACTCAACCACAGAGACATTACTGAGTTTGAAGACATGGAAAACAATGTATGGATCATTCACAGTCATTGACTAGAGTCTCCAAAAAGGATTCCAATCACAGAATGTAAAAATAGATATCTGAACTCAATCACAGAATGTAGTTGACTAGAGTCTCCAAAAAGGATTCCAAGTGGGGGAGATGACTACTTATCCGAGGATGAAGATGATGAGAGACGAGCTTTTCGAGCTTGATCGGCTTTTTCCAAGTAATCTTGGTGAGATCGATGCTTTGATCCTAAAAGAAAAAAGGTTTACCAAACAAGAGCCAATAAGATAAACAACTAGCCTAAAGAGAACCAAACAAGGAACCAAATGTCACATATAGCAAATAAGAACCGAATCAGTACCGCAGATATATATATATATATATATATATATATCATCCTCTTCCAATTCGGAATCTAAAGAGAAACATAGTTATATATAAATAGCCCAGAAAAACGAACCTTGATTCATTAGATACCAGGGGATTCCGAAGATGATGGAGATAATCCCGATCCCAGCCAAAACGTGCTTCTTCTCCCCACTGTAGACATAGTGCTCCATCTTTGCCCTAAATCCTCCTCCCAAATTGCTCTTGCTCTCATTTCCCATCTCGATCTCCACAGGTTTTGCTTCTTCTAGGGTTTATCAGGAATTAGATTTCTAAAATTTTAGGCCCATTTATATTACAATATTATTTATACCCCATATTTACTGAGTTTTGACCCCATTAACTTACGAATTTCATATCCTCGTCCCATTAAGACCATTAAGCGGCCTTCTCATGATGAGCTATGGCTGCTAGGAGACTAACGCGAACTGCACAATGGTCGATTGTGCAACAACAATATCTTCTACGTTTAGTGTCGACTTCATTGTTTTCCCACTCATCTTTCCAAAACCACTCCTTCCCTTCAGCATTTCATCGAGCAGGTCTTGTGCATTCTCAAATCGTAAGCTATGTCCCACGTTTTGTCTCCTCCAACCACTTCTCCACTCAAATCATCTCCGCCATGTTTGATGTCAACCAAGCCTTGGCTCCGTTGGTACAGGGTCTGATTGATTTGATCAGACATGTCTCTGAGCTAGAGTCAGAGGCGGATGCCATGGCATCTCTAGAGGAATCATCCTTTGATCTAAATCATGACTCTTTCTACTCTTTAATCTGGGAATTAAGAGAGGAATGGAGGCTTGCCTTCCTAGCATTCAAATGGGGAGAGAAACGCGGCTGTGATGATCAGAAAGCTTGTGATTTGATGATCTGGGTCTTGGGTAATCATCAAAAGTTCAACATTGCTTGGTGTTTGATCCGTGATATGTTTCATGTTTCAAAAGATACTAGAAAGGCCATGTTTCTCATGATGGACAGGTTCGGTTTCAGCCTCTTTTGTTGAATTTGTTATTGAAAGATTTTACCAGGTAATTGAATTTGGTGGCTTGGTATTCATTGTAGATATGCTGCTGCTAATGATACTATCCAAGCTATTCGGACATTTGATATTATGGATAAGTTTAAACACACCCCTGATGACGAAGCATTTCAAGGACTGCTATATGCCTTGTGTAGACATGGGCACATTGAAAAAGCTCAAGAGTTCATGCTTGCAAGCAAAAAGCTCTTTCCGGTCGATGTTGAGGGATTCAACATCATTCTTAATGGTTGGTGTAACATTTGGACTGATGTGACTGAAGCAAAGAGGATTTGGCGAGAGATGGGGAATTACTGTATCACGCCTAACAAGGACTCTTACAGTCACATGATCTCTTGCTTCTCTAAAGTTGGGAACCTTTTTGATTCTCTCAGGCTATACGATGAGATGAAGAAACGGGGATTGGCTCCAGGGATTGTAGTTTACAATTCTTTGCTTTATGTGTTGACCCGTGAGAATTGCTTTCATGAAGCTATGAAGCTTTTGGAAAAGATGGACGAGGAAGGATTAAAACCAGGTTCAGTCACCTACAACTCAATGATACGTCCCCTTTGTGAGGCTGGAAAGCTGGACGTAGCCAGGAATGTATTGGCAACCATGATAAGTGAGAACCTTAGTCCAACAGTTGATACATTTCATGCATTCCTTGAGGCTGTAAATTTCGATACAAATTTGGAGGTTTTAGGCCAAATGAAGGTTTCTGGTTTAGGTCCTACAGAAGACACCTTTCTTCTTATTCTTGGAAAATTGTTCAAGGGAAAGCAACCAGAAAATGCTTTGAAGATCTGGGCAGAAATGGATCGTTTCGAGATAGTGGCTAATCCTGCTCTTTACTTGGCTACAGTACAGGGCCTCTTGTCATGTGGGTGGCTTGAAAAGGCCAGAGAGATCTATTCAGAGATGAAATCAAAGGGGTTCCCAGGAAATCCTATGCTCCAGAAACTTCTGGAGGAGCAAAAGGTGAAGGGGATCAGAAAAAGCAAGAGGATAGATCTTCAAAAAGTTGGTTCTCAGGGAGGCTATAAGGGTCAGCGATCAATATACAAAAAAGAATCAGATACGGGTAAGACTTGAAGAGTGTGGATCAAACAACTCATGTATCAATTCTCAGACCTCATGGTCTCCACTCTTCTGAAATATGTTATGTGCAATCTGCACGACACCAGAAGCTTGGTTCCCAGCCTATCCGTTCCATTTGGTTTGTCTGCTTTCACTACATCTGCCGTGCAGTTTTCCAGGTAGTCTTTTCGTCCGTTTTCCTAAAGGAGAATATCAATGAATCTGTAATACTAATCATTTGCGACTATAGTATGCTGATTCAGGAATCTCTCTCCAGAATTACATGAAAGACATTAGAAACTAGTGTGATTCTTGATTGTTACACGCCCACGGCCCACGCATCGCTGCGCGTTCAAGTTACAAGAAGTTACGGTTCAATGTGTTATGATAAGAGCCAGACCGCACAACAGGCAAAGGCTATGCTCAATGTGTTTCGAAGGCAAGATCTTCAGAGCTCTCATTGTCTATTATGTCTTTTTCTGTATTCTTTTGTCCTTGGACTTCGTTTTTTATAATTCTTCTGTATCATGACTCATGAATCAATAATGAATGTTATGGGTCCCTTGATTATGGCTCGCTTTTGACTGTTGCAATTTTCATGCCACATTTCAAGGAACCATCATTTTACTCCATCAGAAAAGCTATGGGTCCCTTGATTATGGCTCGCTTACTTTATTTAGTTGCAGCTTCCGAAAATTGATTATTGCTATTTTAAAACCAAACTTGGCTATCATTGAGAGCATGCCCATTAAACACAAAAGGAATATTTATTAGCCATAGGTTTTAGGGCACTTCACTAGCGGTCTAGCGCAATAAATTTGCCTGAAGATCAAAGCGAGAAATGTCTCTAGATGAAATAATTGATATATATATATATATTCTTCTGGATTTTGATGAAATTTGCATCTCATTCATATATACTATAGTTTACAAACATTACAACATAATACAGTTCTCAAAAGCGAAAACTCTCTCAAGTTACATCTAACAATTTCGTAAATGAAAAGATCAGATCAAACCTCGAACTACGTACTACTCCGCATTTCCCTGTTTTAACTTCTCCGCTTCGATCTACTGCCATAAAATTTTGCCGGAGGCGATGGAGAAAACTCGTAAGCAGTCGAGGAAATATCCATTTCCCCTCTCAAGATTCTCACAATTTCACTAACATGAGGCCGTAACTCAGGTGCTTTCTGCAGACAAGCCAAAGCCAAGTTAATGCACAATCCTGCTTCTTCCTTGTTATACACATCCTTCAATTTCTCGTCGACCAGCTCAAGAACATTCCCTGACTGAGCCAATTGCCTACACCAGCTCACCAAATTCGCTTTTTCAAGCTTCATCGGTGATGCAAGGACGTGTAAAGGCCTCCTACCCGAGATTATCACTAGAATCAGTACTCCAAAGCTGTAGATATCGCCTTTCTCCATCAAGTAACAGCAACCGCCTCCATATTCCGGTGCTATGTAACACAATGTTCCTCTCATACTCGTCGTCGTGCTGCTTAATTCGCGGTTGAACAAATCACCACTCCACATCTCATTCCCCATTGATCTATTGTAGTTCTTCTTCTTCTTGCTGCTGCTATTGCTTTCCCTTCTCCATGCTCTTCTGAAGCTAAATTCTCCCGCTCCTTCTCCTTCTCGGTCATGCACGCTGTTTTCACCCTTTTGACGAAAACAGTAACGAAAATGTGGGAATTTCAAATGATTCTTGAACTTGATTCTCAGAATTCTAATCTTCTTTTTGTTATTCATCTCATCTTGATGCTCTTCCTCTCTCCACCATTCCTCCATATTCCTGTGCTTCTTCTTCTTTTTCAATTTCTTCTTCGTCTTTTCGTTGATCTCTTCTTTCGCAAACTTCTCTCCAAGAGTGTCAAACCTATATTCATTCAAACCAGACTCATCTCGATCTTCTGCTTTATCGATTGTCCTAGTGGAAACTCCCAGCTCAGGAGTAGTGATGACCTTCTTCTCATCATCCCAATCCGGATTCGCCGTGTCAATCTGACTCCCTATCCATTCCCTGACATAGTCTTTACTACACAATTCACCACTCCCTTCTTGCTTCCACCACCAATCTCTCCCCCATTGCTTAGACCCCTTCCCCAAATCAAGAACCGAATTAGGGCTCAAATTCATCTCATTGCCCTGATCAAACTCATGATCCTCACATGACAACACAACATGATTGACTTTAGAATCATCCCCATCGTGTGAAACCTCTTTTCCTTTTGTCTCACCCTCCATTGCTAAACTCATCGAATTCAGATTCATTCCCTTAACGTTACGACTTGTTCTACTGTTCTTGGAAGACGAAGAAGCTTGTAGAGCAAGAGCAAAATCAACCTCAGGATGCGTTGGAGTACCAATGGCGGTCTGAGGAGTGCTCTCTCCTCCAAAATTCCCAGAAAGTTCTTGGCTGAACAAATCAACCCCATAACCTCCCTCCACTTTAACCCTAGACAAACCAAAATCCGAAATCTTTGCCCTAAATTCAGAATCCAGAAGAACATTACTAGGCTTGATATCTCCATGAATCACTGGTGGGTCACACCCGAAATGCATAAATTCGAGAGCTTTCGCTACATCGAGGAGGATACTGAATCTCCTTTCCCAATGCAAGCACGAATCTCCATCTTCGTTAAAGAGAAGCTCTTGAAGACTCTTGTTTGGCATATACTCGTAAATCAAGAACCTGTGATGCTTCTCGACGCAATAACCTAAAAGGGTAACCAAAAAAGACGATTTTAACCCGCCAAGAATCTGTAACTCGTTCTGAAACTCGGTCTCTGTTTGAATAGAGAGATTATCGAGTCTCTTAACCGCGAAAAGCTTGCCCTCTCTTGTGATGCCTCTGAACACAGTACCAGAGCCGCCTTTACCAATCACATTGGATTCGTCGAAATCGTTTGTCGCTAGTTTGAGCTCTTTGTAAGTGAAAAGCTGGAGCTTTAATGGCGACGCAGCAGCAACGTCGAAAGGGTTGGTTCTAGAGCGGTTAAGAAGAGAAATCCAGAGGTGATAGATGAAGTAGAGAATTGCGAAGAAGATTACAAGAGAAGATGAGATTGTGAGAATCAAGAAGAGCGTTTTTGTTCTGTTGATGAATAGCTTTGGTCGGATTGGATTTGGTCTTGAAGGCATGTCTCTCTGTTACAAAGATAGAAGAATCGTTTGTGAACATTCGGTATCTCTCTCTCTCTCTCTCTCTCTCTCTGTGATCAGGTTTAACTCTGAATCTAGCTAGCTAGTCGTTGAGAATGTCTAGACGAAAAAAGCTGTTTCATTAGTTTGCTTTATTTCTTTATAAGTTTACTTTGCGAATTAAATAATTATGTCACTTTTTTAAAACAAACTATACCGAAGAAAATCGAGGTTCAAACTGCGTAATAATTACATATAGAGAAAAAAATAGGAAAAGAAAAGTTATTATTTTATAGTGGATGGATTTGACAAAAATATAAAAGGACAAAAAAAAATTGTGATTAATAAAGAAAGAAAGGAAATGATAATGTTGTTTATAATGATGATGTTACTTGCTTTTGGTAGTGGATCACATAGTGATGAGGTTAAAAACTTAAGATTAGACTTTTTGTGTCTTTTTTTTTTTTGTGCCTAGTCGTTCACTTGCTAAGTTAGGATTGAATATTTGGGTGATTAGGATAACGCAAAGAAGAGATTAGTTAGTATGTTAACGAGATTCAAGAAAAAAGAGATACTTAAGAAATTAGTTAACGATCGAGTTGGGAGGCGAAGTGTTCAAGATCCGCTTTGACTGCTTCGGGAGTTATGCATAAATTTTGTACTTTTGCCCCATATCTTTAATATGCACATATCCCACCCACCCCCTTTTTGTAGTCTTGCACATTAAACACATATTTTAGCATATGAAATTATGTTCAAGTGACTCTATAAGAAAAGCAGCATTGCTTTGATCACACACTCGAGTTTGAAAAGGACACACTCTATAGCTGTTTGGCAAAACGTACACGAATCTCAAAGATTGCAAATGGATATTTTGGTTTAAAACTCGACAAAAACTTGTGAGTACGTATTATGGTATAGAAAGATCCATAACGATTCTGGTATTGTTACGACAAATGTAATGTCAAGTTCGTAAGAAAACAAAAAACTCTATGGGATGTCCCATTCTTTATGTTTGTGATAAAGTCATAAGTGGGTGTATGTGGACCAACAATGTCATGTGCACTCAGATTTTTGAATTTTTTCGTTATTCAAAATAAAAATGAAAGAGAGTGAGTCAGAGTAAAAGAATCTCCACTGTCTTTTGTTATCTTGCCGGCCTTACAGAGTTACAGCGTTCGATTGGAACCATTATTATCATCAGTAGTTTCTCTTTTTAGAAATTGGTGAAGAAGACACGATTAAGTGCTATTTTGCTTGATTTTATAAACTATAAAGGGAATTTATATAGGTAATTACCAATATCAGAAGTTTCTATAGAAACTAGCTATTCAAATCCATAAAAGAAATTCTAGTCTATCAAAACTTCACATAGTCTAAAATGCTTTCCATAAAATTGCTAGTACAATCTATTCTCTACAAGTTATGTAATAAGCACCACATAATAAGCATTGGCTGGTCATGGGATTTTTGGTGTCAAACCAAGCATAGATTTGCCGATAATGTATTGATATTCTTTGATGGATCGGAATCCTCTCTTTGTGGCATCTTTCTGTTTTTGACGATTTTTGATTACCAACCTTCAAATAAGTAAGGAGAAGTTATATTTGCAACAAAGAAAACAAGAAATTTGCTACAAATATTTTAAAAGGACTAAATATCCATGCATTATTTTAATTATCCTCAAACATCAATTTCTCAAAGACGATTTACATCAACACAAGAGGAAAAGTATATGAAATCACGAAATTTAGCGTTCAGATCCTAAGTATGATTCAAAACGATGGTGCTTCATTGACAAGGAACATGACATAAAGATGCTTCGAGATATAATAAGTATATGATTCCTTATAAGAAATAGAAAACACCAAACCTTTACTCGTCCTGAACAGAGTCTGAATCCACCTCTCTGCTTCTTGCTTACGTTTGGATGAGCTTTTTGATCTTTCCTTTCTGCCGATGACACAATATCCCAGCATAGTCACAGATTTTGAAATTGGATGAAAAACAAATTCTAACTTGAAAAAAATAAAAGGAATAGAGAAAATTTGTCGCAGGTTTCTGTGTTGTCTTTTTTTTTTTTGGTTTCTGTGTTGTTTGTGGCATGTCTTAAAGATAAGCAATTTAGATTTTTTTTTGTTTTGTTTTTGACGTCTATGTTTTCTTACCTTTGTAAATTGAATTTCTGCTGTAATTAACGTCCCAAAAAATGACAGTTGGGGAAATTTCTACCGTCAAACTAACCTTCGTACACAAGAACAGTGAAAGCTCTAACTAAAGTAGAGGTTTTTGTTGCCTTAGAAGCTGAAGATTTGTGGCAAGTCGTTATAGGCGTTTTTATAGTCGTCAGATTCAACAGAGTTTTAGGTTTTACTCTCATCAATGGATCCTTAAGAAGAAAAAATGCAGAGTCTATACATAAGAACAAATAAATTATGAAGATAATAACTTGGGTATGGCTACAAGGAGTGAATAGTTCTGTTGGATCAAGTTCTAGATTGTGTTCCCCGGTATTTGCATCAAGCTTTGGTGCTAACGAACTTAAGGATCATAAACTAAGGATCTCCGAGAGTTCAAAGAGTTAATAAATCTGAGAAAGCAATCAGAACCTGATTTTGATGCACTTGATACAGAGAAATTAAGCTGAGTACTTACAATGTTCTCCTATACCTAAAACTTCGAACAGAGTCTTAAAGTAAAGAGTCACATTAATGTTGTTTAATCATCTTTATGTACAATAAAGTTAAACCCTTTTTAATTTCAAGCATTCATTAGATATCACGAGGATCAGCAAAAATCACCGAAGTATATCTCGACCTAGTCCAGTCAGACAGTTCAGGTTCATCGGAGAGTTTCTTGAGGCACCAGAGATCTTGAGCCCACGAAAGCCGTTTCCAATGAGGAACGACTAAAGCCACTGCGTCTGATGGGCTAAGCTCTGCCGCTAGCGCTCCACATCCTCTGTCGTATCTCCCAATGTTGTGCACAAAGGAGCATAAACTTTTCATGAGCCGTGGACCGTCTTTGCCTTCCATGTGCATGCCATACATGAAATAAACCCAAAACTTGTCGAACACGTTAGGGAACGAAGGTAATTTCATCCATGGCATACAAGAATCCAAAAATCTCGAACCGGAGCAAAACGCGTGTGTTAACCGGGAAACGCCTTTCATTTGCAACCTGAATACATCTTTGGTGCTCCAAACGCTTAGTATCGCGAAATTAGCCGGGATATCGCGGTCTAAGCAATTTGATTTGGGACCGTGTTTTTCATTTGGCACGGCTATAAACGTTCCTAAGCTGTTGCGGCTGGTTAAAATTGCATCAATGTCACTAGGGAAGAATTCTGAGTTTTTGAAAATCCGGGTGTAGATTGATTCGGCGGTTTGGGGAGTTAGTCGGAGAATTGCGACATCTGAACTGATCGGTTTGGTGTGGGCGTGAACCGGTTGAACCAGCATTGTCGGTGTACGGAATTTGACATAGGAACATTTCTTGGTGAACAAGTTAATGGAATGCTCGTTGGTACAATCAGTGGCCATGTACGCGTAGGTTGCGCCTTGTTGCTTGAACCATTCTTCAAGTGCTTGCACCAATTTCGTTCCTATGCCTAAGTTCCTGCTCAAGAAATCAAATTCAAAAATTAATTAAGGATTAGTGCTTGACCTATTATACTTTAAAATTAAGTCTGATTTGTAGAAAAGAGATTAGTTTATTTTGAGATTAATTATGTGAGAGGAAGGATTAATTGGGTGGATACAAGTGTCGACTAAGGGCAACTTCTTTCTTTTGAATAATACCTAACTGAATCTATCATCAACTTTATCTTTAGAGTTTATTTAATATGTGGAATTGAATCGAATTTTGTAATAGCAGAACATATATTGTCATATATTATAATCTATAGCAAAATGAATATTTTTAAATGATGTTAATGCTTTTTAAGTTAAGTGAGTTTTATGTAAAAGTATATCTCTTCTAGTACTAAGAAATTTCTATTTCGAAATCATGAATAGAAAAATTATTTATCATATATCTATGTGAGTGATGTGACTATATATGTGGAAGGTAGATAAGGAAACGGGTAAACATGGAATGGACACGTAAATTTTGCATCTTGTATTTTGTAAAAACAATGACTTCAAGAAAACAAATAGCGAAAAAAACTTGTGAACAAATTTGTCCTTGTCACGTTTATGATCATTAGATAACGGTAATGGTAAATTGCTCGTCCATGATTATTGTGGAAAAGCATGAGAGTGACTTTTGACTTCTATAATTTGTTTGCCAATTAATGAAGTTAATGTAAAATACATATTTGTTTTTTTGTCAACAAATTAATGTAGTCCGTAAGACATACAATTACAAATCATGAGTAATTATACTTTTATGTAAAAATTAATGGATCTAGTAGAATGAAAAAAAGGAAATTACTAACCGATGGGAAGGTGAAACACGAAGACCAAGAACATAAGCGAGTTTGACAAATATAGAGTTGCCTCTAGTCACAGTTTTAACACATCCTCTTACAACTCCCACTATCTTTCTTCCTTCTCCGTACTCTGCAACCTACACTTCCTCGCATTTTTTTCATTATAATCACATCATCAAATTCCATATATAAAAAATACCCTAGTCACGATAAAAAACCAATAACTTACTCACCGATACATACATATTCTAATAGTGAATGTGTAAAATAAGAGATTAGTTATATATTACCAACATAGTGTGAGACGGAAAATGACGAACGCGACGAACCGGATCGCCCAATAGATCAGAGACCATTACCGGTTTGCCATGATTCCCGGTTTCGTCACATTTTCGTTCCATATCTTCCACGTCACGCTTGTCCCTTTCCTCATCGTATTCTCTGATCACCACCACCGCGGTCGCAACTGCAGCGGCGGCCACTATTTTACTCGTCATATATATAACTTGTTGAGACGAAGAATAATAAGAGTGGTGGGTCTTAGTAAAAAACTCTGATCGAGAGAGGGTTCTTGATTTATTATTGGTGGTTATAAGTTGTGATTATTTCGTGATGTCATTTATATATATTATATAGAGACGGCTTTGCAAAGTTTATGGAAACCTTTTTATTATTTAAAAATCTTTGAATGTATTTTTTTTTCTAAATGGTACAATAATAATCATCATATTCGAGTTTATTAAACCGGTTGGTCAGGTACTTTTTGGGTTTGTCGAATCACAAAGGTATGAATAATGTGAATTTAATTATTGTGCGATCAGAAATAAAACAGGAAATCTGGTGAATATGGACGAAAATTTTCGATAGAACTGTGCCAAGCACGTCGATCATGTGAGAGCCGATTAGACTAGCTAGTTTTTTTTTTTTTTTTTTTTTATGTTTATCATTTGATCCACAAATTGGTCCATAAGATCACAGGTCCCTAAGAAATTAGATTAAAATCTATGAAAAAAATTAATCATCAACAGAGTTAGTCTCTCCAAACAAGATATGTAAAACTCTAGCTAGTAGTATTTAACTAAGTTTTAATCAGGTATAAATTCCCAAGAGAAAGGCGCCTAAAGTTGTACAGCAACTTATGGTAGGGAATGAAGTAAATTGTTAATCAAGGCATCAGTGTGTCGTTAGTGCATATGGCGGCGGTTCTTTACGCTAAATAATTGTAATTATTCAGTGATATATAAAAGACTTATAGAGAAATAGTACTATAAGAGTTCAGATTTAAGGCCACGTAAATATCAAGCTTTTTGTTTTATTCCTAGATTTTGATTATGGAAATAATTTTAGTTTAACCAGTTGTTATTATCAGTATTCAAAAAAGCAATAGGTGCTAAATTGGCGGTGATCCAAAGTTTAGGGCTTAGAACGCCTAATCGGGTCGCGATTTTTTAGAAGGTCTAGACGTTTATAACATAAAACATTATAAATATAATATTATATATAAAAGTTATATAAAATATCTATATAAAACTAAAAATTATGAAATTATAAACAAAAACTAGATAAAATATTTATTTATATTTATATTAAACAATATATAAATATTTATAACTATATATACAATAAAACTCTAATTGAAATTGAAAAAATACATTAAACAAGATATGTGTAATTTTAGGTGGTCAAAGCGGTTATTTAGGCGTCGCATAAGAGCTTAGCGCTTAGTCGGGACTTAGACGACTGCCTATACTGCTTTTTAGAACACTCGTTATTATACAGGTCGGTAAGATTGCTAGTGGCTCTTGATTACATGCTATTAGATAATGACATGACATAACATTTGAAATAACTAATTGATAGTACAAAACGAAATTCAGAAAAGGACAAACTTCAGGTTCATATAATTGAGAACTTGAGTGTGCTGAATATTGGTGAGTAGCTCTAACCTATTATAGTTGATTTATGAATTTAAAACATCATTTGACAAATAAAAACAAGTAATAGAAAACATCGTATGGTATGAACCAGAGAGACAAACAGCAAATGACAAAACAAAAAAAACAGATATTAAAATAACTTTTTTGCCAAGAAAACATATTACATTTATAATTTATTTTGGGACTTATGGATTTCTTTTGTTCTTTGCGATTTTTGGTCGTTGGGTCTCTCTCATTGGCTAATATCTCTTTTAGATTTTGTGTCTTTGATATATTGAAAACGAAATCGTACTGTAAGGACATCCGATAAGCACTTCAAACCTAATTCAATATCTAAATTCCAAACGACAACTACCTCTAAGAAACTAATATCCTCAGCGTGAAGCCAATGTACAAATCGACAGCAAATAACTGTAGTTAAATTTAACTGTTATTTATTTTTTGAAACAGAAAATAGAAGAATATATGATTTTATATAATTTACAAAATCGACAGCACATAAATGTAGAAATTCTAATACATGTGAAAAGGTTGAAGGAGAAAAAAACATAAGGATAAGAATGTAAGGATAAGAATGCATTACTCATATCATATATGATTATATCACATGAGTTCCTTTCAATTTGCTCTCTTTTTTTTTTCCTTGCCATTTGTGTTTTCTAAAATGATTTTTCTTTCTTATTTTATATAATAACTGTGTAATATAACTACTAACTAAAGAATGGTAACTGCGTTTTGCGGTGCGGGAGAAATGCGGTGCGGTTCAAATAGTAACGAAAATACATAGATACATATGTATATGCAGATATTTTGACACTGTTACAACACTGTTGCGGTGAAGTTTTGGGTGCGGTATTGGTCACCATTCACAACCTTAATATACCTACTAACTCTTTAGCAAAACGATTTTCTAAATATAGGTGAATAGGTGATGGGCAGAAGAATATAAACCTTCACTATTTTTCCAATTTCTATCAAGTCTTTAATTTGTTCATATCTATATTTATCTATCGCTGTGTGTGTGTGTTTTCACTTTCACCAACTATATATACAATCTAAATAGGAAAAGCTTTTGAAGTTGATTTTATAATTTACTACCACTTTTAGAGCCGTAATTTTCGATAGTGCGTCGCAATTTGCAATGAGTTATAAAGATTTATGTTCCATATACTTTGGTGATGGAACAAATTCTAATTCACTTCCCACATGTAGATTAAATTATATTATATGATCCCTTCATGAGTATCATATCTTAAATATAACAAAAAGTTCTAATGATTTCTTACCGTGGGGAGAATGATTCGTGAGATTAAAACTAGAACTAAAAGTGGAACAAGGTGTAACTTCTGATTAACTCTTAATTTTTATTGAACCAAAATTAATATTTATTCTTTATTCATTAGAAGAATAAACATTAATTATATATAATATTATATGCCGAAAGAACGTCCACAAGAATATTATATATTCTCGTCTCCTTTTTCCATAATCCTCATGCCATATTTTTCACGAACTATAATTAAGTTCCACTTTAGTTGCTAATTTTTTTTATAAGGCACGTAATATCAAAACATAAACACTAGTGATTTGCAAGTGTATTGTAATACTAATCCAACTTTTTAAGTGTGTAAATTATTGATGAAGATTAAAGCACAAAAAAGTAATTTGTAGTGTTATAGTATTAATCGTCTTGTGGTTGAATAACGATCATTAAATGTAAGTATTCAATTCCAATTTCTTAGCTTTCACAAATGGCACTTCATTTATTGATAATGGATGTTTCCGCATGCAAATAAGGTATACGAGTGCTAGATAAGGATGCGAAAGATGTTACAAAACCTACCATTCTTACAAAAAGAAATCCGCTTTTATATTTTGATCTTTAGGATCATGCACCAATTCGTAAGCAGAAAACGAACCGTGTAAAGTTTCAAACTCACTAAACTCAGTTGTGAAGACCGGCCACTTCCTTGGTCCTGAAAGCTATTTGTACCAGTGATATAATAAGAATATAAAATGTCTATGATGTTTTTTATGCAATTCATTGTCGATATTATTATTATCAAGGCAGCCCAACATGTCGTAACACTAATCTTTCATTGATTGTTTAGTCATTGTGTCCAAAAATACCTGCCACATAAAATGCGCAATTCAATTGAAGATGTATACTTTCAAACTTTTTCTTTGACCGGTTTAATCGATGGGGCCTCTAGGCATTTTTACTTATCTGTCGTCTACCTGTACTAGAGCGATCTTATAACTTGATTCAATTGAGTATTCATTTCCAATCATTAGCCATATATAAAGAAGTCCGTTCATTTAGTATGAATTCTCTGATCAAAAATAAGAGAAAAATTGAGGTAGCCAATGAATACAAAAAAAAAGAACGGACAATGACACGTCATTGTCATTAATGCTGCAATGGTGATTTCAAGATGTATGATTAATATGATTGTGATAAGTCACTAATAGAAGAAGAGAAAATGACTATGACAATCAGACAATGTATTGGGCCAAAGATATATGTTGAGGCCTATTTAAAGACCCTTGGGCCGAAGAAATATGTTGAGGCCTATTTAGAGACCCTTGGGCCGAAGGAATCTGTTGAGGCCTATCTAGAGACCCAATAACAGTTGTTTGAGCGATACTCTGATTTTCTCATCAGCAAAAAACAGAGCAAGAAAAAAAAAAAAAACGTAAGCGAAATGGGATTATTGGCCGCGATCGGAGTTCTGTTGCCATTTCCGTTTTACTGGTGGCTGTGGACGAATCCTCAGTCATGGGTCAATCTCTGCGGCCGAGGAAGAGACCCATCGACGGTAATGGCGCGTGTATCTCACGTGCTCAAGGCTGCTCAACTCCTCTCTCTCTTCTCCGTCGCTTCTCTCTCCTGGCCTCCGCTCTACTTCTGGCCTCTCATGGCCTTTGGCCAGTTTCTCAACTTCAGGTCCAGTTCCTCTCTCAATTTGTTGAATTGAGATCGATGAAAATAGGGATCTTTAGTCAACCCATTTTTGAGTTTGAAATCGCATCTGTAGACGCTGTGAAAGTCTTGTCCTTTCTCAAGTTCAATCATCGAATCTGGTTTAGTCTTGTAAAGGGTTGATACTTAAAGGTCACATCTTTGACTGCTAGGTGAAGAGTTGTGTTTATGCCGCAACAAAATGGATATTGAGTGATGTTTGATATGGACACTTCTTTGTTCTGTGACTGAGCTTTCTTGTTGTAAAATTTGGTTAACTTAAAAAGGTCACATCTTTGCAGGGTATACCAATTGTTAGGTGAAGCTGGAACTTATTACGGTGTTCGATTCGGGAAGAACATACCGTGGGTTACAGAGTTCCCATTTGGAGTCATCAGAGATCCACAGTATGTTGGGAGTATCATGTCTCTATTGGCATGCCTCTCTTGGGTTCCATTCCAATACATTCTCCTCTGGTCTCTCGGCTATGTTTTCATGATGTTTGTGGAATCAAAAGAAGATCCAAGTGCTCGTGCCAAATCCCTCTCATGATTCCTAAGCATAACCCACTTGTGTTCGAAGAGCAAAACTCCCAGGAACGTCAGGTCTTGAAGGTTTTCTTTTTGAGTTTGTATTCTCCGTTGTACCCAAACTGATTCTACACTTCCATGGATAATGCAGTTACCTTTTTCTCGGGTTAGCGGTAGTCTATAGAATTGTCGAAGCAAGTATGAGATTCATCTTTCCCTTTATGCCAAAGTCAATGATGCATCTGCTACAAAGAACCAACTTGAAACATTTGTAATAAACAAAAAACTGAAGGAACCAAAATGTAATAAACAGAACTTTTAGGAGCAATCTTGACATAAATAAATCTGTAGGAAATATCTATAATAGTTACAAACTATCGGGAATATATGTAATTATTCTAAACAACGAGAAATTGTATACACGTAAATACAAATTGTCGGGAGACACTCGAGTACGAAAGAAGTTTTGTTTATTTTTCGACCTTATTTGTAAATCTCTTGTCATGGCATGGACTGATACAAGACAAAACATTCCTAATCTGTCTAGGAATCATTAAGCAAGAAACTAATTTTTTAGTGTATATAGATCGCAAACCTATTGTTTGGCTTTATCGGGTTAAGAGTTAAAGAAGACGACCCATAGTTTTGGATCCGATATATTAGTAAGTTTTGACCCGGTTATTTTCGGGTCGGGCTAATTAGGAAAAGAGGAGGAACCAAACGATGACGTGTAAAACTGTGACTGGCGAACAGCAACTACTCTTCCTTGGTACTCTCCGGATTCCTTTCGTTCTCGATCGGAAAAAATCATCTCTTTTTTGGTTCGCCGAAGTCAAAAATAAGGATTTTCTCGGTACTATTCCAAAGATTTGTCTTTTGTGTGTTTCTTCACTTTCTTATGAATGTGTAAACCTTACTCATTCATTCCCGTGATCCTAAAGAGCAGCAGCTTTGGGATTTCGCTAGAAGAATTGGGAAATTTTTAGGTGACGACTCATTACTTTTAAGATTGTAAATGCAGGTCCTTTCTTTCTAGGGTTTATCGAAATTGGTTTGAGATTTTCTTTTGGGGAAATTGCAATTCCTTAGTCGACGTGACTCGTGATCCAGAGTGTGTTTTAAGTGAAGAAGGCATTTTCGAAAACCGGAGACTTTTAGGTCAATGTCGGCTCCACCGCGAGTTCGGTCTGTGGATTCATCCGACCGAGAATTCAGATCAGTTCTTGGTCCCGCCGGTAATAAGCTGCAGCAGAAACCGTTGAAGAAGCCGGTGGCTGATAAAACCAAAAACCTAACCTTTACGAAGAATATGCCGCAATGCTCGCCTCTAAGCCCTTCAATTCTGAGACGAAACGGTATCTCGATGACCGCTTCGTATTCTTCAGATGCGTCATCTTCGTGCGAGTCGTCGCCGTTAAGTGTGGCGTCGACTTCGAGCGGGAAGAGGGCTTTGCGGCGAAGTGGGTCACTTTCTTCTTCCTCTTCCCTGAGAAGAAATCTGACGGAGGAGAGAGATGAGAAGGCTAGTGATTGCTTCTCTGACGGTCGTAAAAGATGCGCTTGGATCACGCCTAAATCTGGTAATTCGATCTCTCTTCATTCATCAATTTCATTTTTTTCGTTCCCACTTATCAGCTACTGTTATATAGCAGTATAGAATAATTGATCCTTGGCTTTACCGGTTAAGCAATTGAAGTGTCAGTGTCCTTGAAGAAGATTTTTGAGTTTGACTAGTTTAAAAGATTTGTACTCTCTTGCTTTGGAAGTTAGTTTTTTAATGTAGAGCCCAAATCTTGAGTATGTTTTGTGATCAGGCAGATCATATCTCTATTGAACAACGACCACAGAAACAGGAATTTGTAGAGATCAGTTTTTGTCATTTCTCTACGCTGATGGGGCTATGGCCTTGACTTTGCTTTGGTTTGAATCTTTTCATCTGCTATGACTGACCGATAATTTTATTTTATTTTTGTTTCTTGTAAAAGACCAATGTTACATTGCTTTCCATGATACTGAATGGGGAGTTCCTGTCCATGACGACAAGTACGTGATGTTTTCTCTTTATACTACTGACTATGTTTTACTGATCTGAGGGATGCTCTTTGTGGATTATACACTCTCTTATGCAGTGAATTTTTTGCAGGAGACTATTCGAGTTGTTAAGCTTGTCTGGTGCCCTTGCTGAACTATCTTGGAAAGACATTCTTTCCAAAAGACAATTATTCAGGTAAACCAGAACCAAAGCTGTTGTGGTTACATCTTCAGACTTCTTACAAGCTCGAATCTCAAAATGCGTTTGCCTTATTTTATACAGGGAAGTTTTCATGGACTTTGATCCAATTGCAATATCTGAACTAACTAATAAAAAGATAACATCCTCTGAGATTGCTACCACTACGTTACTATCAGAGCAAAAGTTACGGTCAATCCTCGAGAATGCTAACCAAGTTTGCAAGGTAATTTATCATCTATGTAAGCCTGATCATAGTTTCTGTGTTCCTTAACAACATTACCTTTTTTCTTACTGTTATTGGTTTTCTCAAATCCAGTTAATAGTTGAATTTGGATCATTTGACAAGTACATTTGGAACTTCGTTAACCAGAAACCTACTCAAAGCCAATTCCGGTACCCACGCCAAGTCCCTGTGAAGACTTCCAAAGCCGAGTTGATAAGCAAAGATCTAGTACGCAGAGGCTTTCGCAGTGTCAGTCCAACGGTTATTTACTCATTCATGCAAACAGCTGGTCTCACAAACGACCATCTCACTTGCTGCTTCAGACACCATGACTGCATGACAAAGGACGAGACTGGTAATTAAAGAAAAACCAAGAGAGAATAGTTTAACACTGTGCTGCTTAGGATGATGGTTTGGTGTTGTACTGTGTTTGTATTTGTACAGATGTTCTTGTTGTCAAACCAAAAAGATTTTCTAAGCCGGAATGTATTGGAGATTGTATGAAAACGATTACATTTTACATTTTCAGTATCACAATGGATTATAATGTACTCTCTTTCTCTAACTCATGACAATTTCAATCTAAAAACACTAACGGAATTTGAAACTAAACTATTTCTCGGTATGATTCTGTTGATACAATTTTCCGGTAACAGCTGCTGCTAAAGCTGCTGTAAAGTTAGGATCTTTGGTCAAGGAAGAAGCCATTTGCTCCACCAAAAGTTTCTGAACTTCGGGAAAATCGATTCTTGATGTTGGGCTCGTCACTTTCTTTGATTCAGTCAAATCTACGGTAGTCACTGGCTCAGTCAAGCTACTTCTTCTGTTAGCTGCTGCGGGTGTTGAAGCTGAACCACCATGAGAGATGTAGCGGTTTAAGCCATTGTTTGAATCGATCTGCGATGGCATTGGATGGTTATGTTCACCCTCATAAGTTGCAACCAACACGGACTGGTCCTCCACACTTCTCTGAACCTGAATAGAAACAAACACAGAATTAGAATCAGATTAATAAGTTTATCATCAAATCTGTATTATTCCAATTCATAGATTTTAAGCGAGAATCGGGTTATTTTCTTTATCAATTACCTTCTTTTTGACAGAACAGCTTGGAGCACAAGCACATTTGAAGTAAGCTCTTGGAGATGGATTGTCTCTAGTCACCTTCTGTCCATATTTCCTCCATTGATACCCATCTTTCACAACCTATAAGAAACAACTTCTATAATCAATAAACCATATAAAATAAAGTTTCTAAAGATAAATAGATACCAAGTTTGATAGTTTTCATGAAGGCTTACAAGGGTGGTGTCAGAAGATTCGGTCTTGTAATAGACTCTTGAGACTTTCTCCTTCACAACAGTCTCTTCTCTCTGCTTCTTACACAAATACTCATCTTGATCCGTTGAGCTACTCTCCGACACTCCACCAATAACCGCCGAGCTGAATGCGTCCTCTCTCGCCGGAGATTTGCGTTTCTTGGGAGGACTGCTTTGGTCTCTCTCGGTAATGTTGCTCTTGTTAACATATTCCATTAGTTGCTTCCTCAAGACGTTGTAGTTGTCATACATCAAAGTTAGCATCTCCGAGAGCTTCTTGTTCTCAGCACTCACTCGCTTTAATTCTTCCACCAAAGCACTTGTCTGCAATTTATCATTTATATATATTGCATGAAGTTAGTAACCACATTATTTTTTCATACTAGAAGTTTAATTGATTTTATGATCTACCGTTACAATTATATTTCATGAACCCACCACATGAATTACTAACGATTTTTTCTTGTTGTTAAAGTTTATGCTTATGAACACCAATTATATCTAAAAAAATTATGTGTAGTATAAATTAATTAAAAAAAAAATTATGTGTAGTATATGAAAATATCTATGTTTATAAATTATACATGTGAAATGATCTATGGATATTTGAGTTTAGTTCATATTTTCAAAACCACAAAAAAAATGAAAAATATATATGTGTATAGTACATAATGATGAACTACTAAGTTTAAAAGCTCCATGGATATGTATAATATAATTGAATTTTTTTGAAGATGTAGAGTATGAAGAATCCGAAAGAAGCATACCGGTGGATCTTCTTCAACTCGCATACGAGTAACGCCAATAGTAAGATCTAATGACGTATCGACCAAAGAGGATGAGTACTGATCCATGTAAATATATGTAGGATGAATCTTCGATATGGGTTCTTGTGGAAGTTTCCGTAAGCTGAGGAAAAAAAGTTGAGAGAGATTCGTAGTAAGAGTCGATCTTGGGTTCTTCTTTTTTTATTGTGGGATTGTTGAAGAAAGAAAGATTTTGATTCTATATATAAGGGAGTGTTAAGAGGAAAGTAGGAGGAAAGAGGAGCCTGTGCTTTTCATTTTCATGCAATAAACTAAGTGATGGTCTTATCATTTCTTGTTTACTTTTAGTCTTTAGACTCAACTCGGCTTCTATCGGGTCCACCCGCACACGTATTTGGTCCAATCTTTATTACCATTTAAAAAAAAAAAAACTTATTGGATACATATGAAATGCAACTAATATTCTTGATTTTTATTTTGGATAGTTGGTTGACATTCTTTTTTGTTAAACAAACATTTGGCTTGTGATTGGTCTACTAAAAATATGACTCTTTTCCACGTTTGCATTTATATGTTAGTTATTTTTTTTTGGGAAATTGTTAAAAATACTCCTTTTGGTGTGTCCTTTTTCAAAAATGTCCTTTTTAGATGTCTATTTTCAAAAATGTCCCTTTTTAAATATGAAATTTTTATAAAGTTTTATTAGGTTTATAAGGTACTTATGGATTGTAACTACTACTTGAAGACTCGATCCAAGTATTTATAAGATTTTATAAGGTGTTTTTAAAGGTTTTACAAGTTATTTTAAAGAATTTTTAAGGTTTTACAAGATATTTTAAAGGTTTTTAAAGGTATTTAAAATGCATTTATAAGGTATTTATAAAGTATTTATAAGATTTTAGATACATAGAAATGTAGTTTGTGTGTGTTTTAATAATATTACATACATATTTGGGTAAATCTTATATTTTTTATAGGGAGACTCACAAAAATGCCCCTTTTTTAATACTCCTTTTCAAAAATGCCCCCTTTGGATGTCCATTTTTAAAAATACCCTTTTTTATGTACAAAATGACTAAATTATCCTTCTTTTAATAAAAGATATCACAAATATATAAGGAAATATAACAAAATTAGGTCCACAAAATACAAAATATTTTTCCCGCCAAAACACTTGTAAAAACTTGTAAAACCTTTAAAATACCTTGTAAAATTTTCCCGTAAAATTTTTTCCCGCAAAAATTTTTTTTTAGCGGGAAAAGTGATTTCGCAATTTTTTTTGCGGGAAAATTTTTGGCGGGAAAAATTTACAAGGTATTTGAAAGGTTTTTTACAGGGTATTTATAAGGTTTTACAATATATTTTAAAAGGTTTTACAACGTATTTATAAAATATTTATAAGATATTATAAGATTTTACAAGCTATTTTATAAGCTTTTACAAGTTTTTTATAAGGTTTTACAAGTTATAAATACCTTATAAAACCTTATAAGTACCTTGTAAAACCTTTTAAAATACATTGTAAAATCTTACAAAACACTTGTAAATACTCTGTAAAACCTTTAAAATACCTTGTAAATTTTTCCCGCCAAAAAAATTGCGGAATCACTCTTCCCGCAAAAAAAAATTTTTGGCGGGAAAATTTTTACAAGGTATTTTAAAGCTTTTTACAAGTGTTTTGTATTTTGTGGACCTAATTTTGTTTCAAATAAAGGTAAAATGGTCATTAAAAAGTAAAAGAGGACAAACTTAAAAATGGACTCTCAAAAGGGGCATTTTTGAAAAGAGTATTGAAAAAAGGGCATTTTTAACAATTTCTCCTTTTTATAAAGTTTTAAAAAAGGGATATTTTTGAAAAGTGTCATTTTTGCAAAAGCTCTTTTTTTTTTGTGTTTTGTTTCGTTAGCCGGCCTAATATATTCAGAATATGTAGCTTTGCAATTCAAGACATCCATCAAAACGAATCTTTCAATTACTCAATTCTTATTATTTATTTCGTTTATAAATAATTTGCATTTTCCGTGTCTATATATTAAACTCTTCATACATAAAACAAAATGTATTTACATCATATTTTTGTTTGAAGACGTTTATTATTATTTTTATTTTTTTGACGTTTATTAATTGGTTGTCGTATAACAAGTATACTCTATTTAAAAAAAATTACTCTAATTTAAATCAATAATTTGTAAGAATTCCTCGTATGTATAAACTGGACATGCAAACAATTGCTTAGTTATTGCCGATTGGGGCCTCAGCCAAAAATGTATTGAACTTCTATTCTTTTCAAGTTTTCAACTTAAAAAAAAAAACTATTGTGTGACAAGCTTAATGTGTGATTAAATACATATGTTGTATATCATCTTAGTTTAATTTTTTCATGGATTTAACTAATAGACCTATATTTTTATTTTTATTTTGTGTTCAACAACTAATAGAGCTACATATCAGACAATAATTTTATTTTTTAGTTAACTTAAAAGTCATAAAGTAAGGACTACAAATGACATGTGCGATAAAAGAAATGGTTGATTAGATGTATATAATGAAATGTAGTAAAGGCGTGCTTAATTAGGAAGTTTAATTGTGAATTAGTTAGTTAGCACGTTTGACAAAAAAGTGCAACTAGTTGGCGATAGTAATAATAATAGTATAATAGAGTGTGCGGAACGTGGTTTGTATGTTCTAATGAGAGATTTCTTCAGTAGTATAGTACTAAGTATTTTTAAATAAATGTATACGAGTGCCTTGTTCGGTCAAAGTCAAGCCCACGCGGCTTTTCAAAAACCACTAGACAAATTGACAATACTATCGTGACGAACTTTTTTTTTTTTTTTTTTTTGACATCAATATCGTGACGAACTTTATGTGACGAACTTTAACAAATCTTAATTGCCTTCTTCCTTCTTTTCGTTTTAAGAACACCAATTCGATTTCCTTAAAAAAAAAAAAAAAAAATAAGAGGAAGATCCTAACTTTTATAACTGGACTAATTTTTCAGAATAGATTTAGATGTCGAGTACCAAAGTTTGCAAAATTACAAACAAACTATAATATATGTAATCATTATATATATTAATATTATATATGCTGAAGTGATAATACTCACATTGAACCCTCCAATTGGATGTTTTTTTTTAATCAGTTTTATACTTTTAAAAAAGAGTATTATAACTATTTATGTTCAGACAACCAAATAATTAAGTATTTATGCATGTTTTTTTTTTTTTTAATTAAGTGAACACGAGAAAGATTGATGCTTTGACAGTTTTACCTTTGTTTTCTTCATCTAATTATTTGTCTTTCTCTTAATATTTTATGGATCTTCAACATTATTTCCAGAGATTTTTTGTTGTTATTTCCAATCACCATCTCTCTTCCAAACCCTATTCTTTCTTTGTTGTCACATCTATTTCTTCACAAATGATTTCTAAATCTAACTCTCCATTTGGCTCATCAACTTTA